TCTGTGTGGATGATGTTGCCACTCACAGCCCTGTTCAGCGGATTACATAAAATACATGCAATCTGCTTGGTGTGTAGTAAGCTTTCTGTGAAGGACAATGTATTAGTTATCTATTGCTGTGTAATGAATTGCCACTAACTTAGAACCTTAGAACAAAACACATATCTGTGTTTCAGGAATCTGGATATGGCTTAGCTGAGTCCTTGCTTCAGGGTCTGTCACAAGGCTGTAATCAAGGTGTCGTCTGGGCCTGGAGTCTCATCTGAAAGCTTGATTGAGGAAAGATCTGCTTCTAAGCTCGTGTAGTTATTGGCAGAATTTCACTTCCTCCAGGGGTGTTGGACTAAGGGCCTCAGCTCCTCTCTGGCTGTTGGCTGGAGCCCTTCCTCAATTCCTTGCTGCATGGATCTGCCCAAATTGGCAACTTGCTTCATCAGTTCCAGCAAGAGAGAGTCAATTGAGAGTCTGCTAGGAAGACAGAAGTCATAATCCTATGTGACCTAATCACACAAGTGACATCCTATTACTTTTGCCATCTTCTGTTGGTTAAAAGCAAGTCACAGGGCCGGCCTGGTGGTGCACTGCTATAGTGCGCCGCTTGGGAAGCGCGGTGGCGCTCCCGCCGAGGGTTCGGATCCCACATACAGACCGGTTCCCGCTCACTGGCTGAGCGAGGAGCGGGAGCAACACCGAGGGTTGCGATCCCGTGGCCGGTCCCGGTCCGGTACGGGCGCGACACTGAGGGTTGCGATCCGTTGCCGGTCACGAAAAAAGACAAAAAAGGAAAAAAAATAAAATAAAATAAAAGCAAGTCACAGGGCCCACCCATACTCAAGGGGAGGGGATTGCACAAGGGCACGAATACCAGGAGGCAGGGACCTTTGGGAGTCATATCAGAAGCTGCCTACTACAGCTCCTATTATTTTAGAAAGAGAATATAACATAATGATTAAGAGGGAAGGTTTCCATGTCACTTAGGAATGGCTTCAAATCTCAGATCTGTCATTTACTGTGTGACCCAAGGCAGGTTACCTGGCCTCTCTGAGGCCCCATTTCCCCACCTGTACGGCACCTTCCCCATAAGATTGTTGTTAATCCCAGATGAGAGATCACATGTAAAGCCTAGCAGAATGGTGAACACTCAGTAAATGTCAGCTACTGGCTTTTTTTTCCTTTTCCTTTTTTTTTTTTTTTTTTTTTTTTTTTTTCTTGAAATAACATTAGACTTTGAATTTTAGAAGAAGAATAGCATGGAACTCTTCAGTGCCCCCAGACTTAGTTATTTGTGTGGAAATTCCAGACTTGTGGGTAGTTTCCTGGGCACAAAGCTGTTGCTGGACGGGCTGTGCAGATCCTCCCCTGTTTGCTCAGGGCCTCGGGACTGAGAAATGCAGGTTTTTGGCCTCAGGAGGGCTGTAGCTTCCTGCCATGGAAGAATGCAAGAACCACCCTCAGAATGGAGCTGGCAGGACTCCCTGCAGTACCCGTCCCAGGCACCCCCCGCTCTGGAGCAGCTGCTTCCCCTGCAGGGGGCCTGAGCATGGTGACCAAGAGTGTGGACAGCTGAGCCCGCTGTGCTTCCCCAAAGGACAACTTGGGGAAGTTGGGATCCCAAAGGCAACTCATGATGACTTCGTCCATCCCTAGAGGTCAGGAGGCAGATTTGGAGCTGGAGTTCTTGTCTGCACAGGCACCTTGCCCTGAACTGTGCCAAGCAGTTGGCTGGCTGCTCTGCTCATGCCTGGTCAGAAAGCTCTACCATCTTCTCTTGTTGCCCAGTTCGACCCCCCTCCGTCTCTCCACTTTGCTTTCCTCCTGGAGGCCTCAGGACAGAGAGTGCTTACAAGAGGTCACCGCTTGGACATGGCAGGCTGTCCTCTGTCTCTTCTTTCTGACTAGAGCACCTCTGCCTCCCTTCGCCCCTTCCCCCATCCTTTGCATCCAGAGATCCTGTTCTTGGTCCCGCAGTTGGTCCCCCAGAGCTGCAGGAGAACTTTCCAGAGTCACTCTGTCATTCACAGTTAGCTCTGTCATTCTAGAGGAGAGATGCTAGCTAGAGAGGCCAGTTTTTCCCTTTTTTTCTAGATCATCTGATAATGTCTAATGCAATGTCTCCCCAGCTTCTTTGAGGATAAAAATCACTTGGAGCTGTTGTTAAACCTAGAGCTCACAGGACTCTTCCCTGGAGAGCCAGGTTCAAGGGGGACTAGAATAGGCCTGGGAACTTGTAGTTTTAATGAGTGCCCCAGCTAATTCCTATCATGGAAGTTTAGGAAACACCAGTGTAAGCATGCTAAAACCCAGTCCCAATCCGTCTTCCTTGAAGAGTGAAGATCTGAAAGCCCAGGCCTTCCCCAGAGAGGGCTTCTCTCTGACCTGTGGGCCCCCAGCTCAGTCTGTTCAGTGTTCTGTGAGAGTGAGGCAGAGATTTTAGCATAATTTAATTCTTCAGAAAGTTCTGTAGTTACTGCCCTTTAAATTGCTCCTTCCTCTTATATATGCAAGAGAATACCGTCTGAGGAAGTGTTTTCCTTAGATGATTAGCAAAATATGGTGCAGGGCTAACAGTAGCACAGCTGGGCCATCCAGATGTCAGCCTTCCCCACGTGGACCTGATGATAAGGGCTCCTGTTCATGTGCAGATGCTCCCCATGGGCTGGCCCTCTTGACAACAGATGCGGGAAATTACAGTGAGGATATTCCTTTTGTTTCTACAGCTGTCACCGGGCCACTGGAAGGGGTGTTGTTGGTTTAGGGTTGAGTGGGTGGGTGCACTTGGTCACTATGAGGGAAGAGAAACGTCCTAGTAACCCACATCCCCAGTAGCACTTGTTCTGCTTCAGGGAACCTAGAAGGGAAGTTTCAGGGTCAAGGAATGCTAGTCCTTGTCCGTTCTTCTGTAATGCTGGCCTCTAGAAACAGCTGTATTGAAGTAGCATTAATAACATGCCCTTGGAGAAATAGCCATGGTGAAGATTTCAGCATTTTTCTAAAACCACAATTGATGGTTGATGCTGATACATCTGTGGTGTTATTCAGTATCCCTTGCATGAGACTCAAATGGTAAATTGCTTTTCTAGGAAAGTTTCTTAAGAGCTTTCTTTCCAATTAACGAGTTTTCCACAGTCAGGGTGGGTTCAAAGACTGCTTTGCCTAAAATCACTCCATCTAGAGACCAGAATGCTTAAAATTCACTTTTCCCTCTTGATTTTTATATCCATGTGGGTGTCCTATTCTTTTATGTCATCTCTTTTTTTAAAATTTTTCCTTTTTGTCTTTTTTCATGACCGGTAACGGGATCGCAACCCTCGGTGTCGCGCCCGTACTGCGACCAGCAACGGGATCGCAACCCTCAGTGTCGCGCCCGCACCGCGCTCAACCAGTGAGCGGACCAGTCTCCATATGGGATCCGAATCCTTGGCGGGAGCGCCGCCATGCTCCCAAGTGCCGCACTCTACCGAGTGCGCCACTGGGCCGGCCCGCATTTGTCGCGCCCGCACCGCGCTCAACCAGTGAGTGGACTGGTCTCTACATGGGATCCAAACCCTCGGCGGGAGCACCGCCGCGCTCTCAAGCGCCGCACTCTACTGAGTGCGCCACCGGGCCGGCCCTATGTCATCTCTTTTGACATTGTAAGGATTTTAAAAATTAATTTTTTTTTTTTTAAAAGATGACCGGTAAGGGGATCTTAACCCTTGACTTGGTGTTGTCAGCACCACGCTCTCCCAAGTCAGCCACGGGCCGGCCCTAAAAATTAATTTTTCTAAGTCACCTTTTGATTTAATTTTGTATCTCTAATAAGTACTTATTAAATCTGTTGCATTTTATGAATAATGAGATTATTTTTATATGCTGGTGGCTTTCTATTTTTTATCTTATTTTGAACACTTAAAGGATTTTTGAGCCAGTTTGCCTAAAGAACCTTTCTTTAAAAATAAATATATATTGGGCCGGCCCGGTGGCGCACTCGGTAGAGTGCGGCGCTTGGGAGCGTGGCGCTGCTCCCGCCGAGGGTTCGGATCCCATATAGAGACCAGTCCGCTCACTGGTTGAGCGCGGTGTGGGCGCGACACCGAGGGTTGCAATCCCGTTACTGGTCACGAAAAAAGACAAAAAGGAAAAAAATAAAAATAAAAAAATAAAAAATAAATATATATTGTAAAGAGTCTGTTTCATTGTGTTAGTTTATGAAGTAGATACCTTAAAATATGAAATGCAGTGAAATCCATTATGGTTTTTATTAGTCTGTCTTATTTCTTAATGCCTACTGTCAAGATCTGATTAATTCCCCACTCAACAGAAAGAAACGTAGGTAATGTGCTAATTTGGTTAATAATCACATAAAGAGCTTATAGGCATATGGAGTGAAAAAACAATACAGAAGCAAGTACAGCAAAAGAGATGGATTTGATGAATTCTGCATAAACCTCAAAAGGTTTATAAGTTGGAAACATAAAACTTTAAGGCTTGTTAAGTTGTAAGGTCCTTAAATGGTTTAAAAAGTAGGCTAAAGAGATACCTACAAGGATATCAAGTAATTTCATAATTCATAAAATGCTGCAAATTTGAGAAGTACTTAATAGAAATATAATATTAAGTGTCAAATAGGTTGTGAAATCCCCAAATTGTTGCAAACCTTAAAGCGAATTGCTTCCAAAATCCTAAAAATGCCAATAGGATGTCAGAAAAAGAATGGGACAGTTGACAGGGATGTAGAAGCACTCAACAAGGAGTTGTGTTTTAAGCAGATTGCTCATTAGGCCAATTTCTCTGCAGCCGCAGGGTGGTAGCTGCTAAATGGAGTGTGGGATGCAGAAGCTATTCACTGGGGCTCTTTTTCTCCTCTCTTCCCTTTTCTTATTTTAATTGTTCTCATGCATATTTATCTTTCTCTCTAAGCTATTTAAAATCTTTTGGGGCAGTAGGTGGCCTAGAAATGGTACATTATACAGAAATCATGTTCCATCAGTTCACGCAGCCATCTCTCCCGTTGCAGAGAACAGCCCATTTTCACCACCCGTGCGCACGTCTTCCAGATCGACCCCAGCACCAAGAAGAACTGGGTGCCTGCAAGCAAGCAGGCGGTCACTGTTTCCTACTTCTATGATGTCACGAGGAACAGCTATCGGATCATCAGTGTGGACGGAGCCAAGGTACCACTTTACTAGCTGATTTTAACATTCTCGGTCACTTATTTTTCATCCAAAGCAATACAATACATTTGAAAAGTGGAGGGAGAAAGATGTACCCAAATCCTGCTATCGTAACAGAGGAGTTATTGTTATTATCATACTCTAATCACATATCCTGCCTTTTTTCTTACAAAATTATGGCAAATGAAAAAAACAAAAGAGTTCCCTGTTACCACACTATCTTCGTAACTAGCGTTTTAATGCTATATGAGAATTCCACCAAGGGCCTGTGATGTTCTTAATTTCTCCTTTATGGTTGGATATTTAAGTGGCTTATAGTTTTTCACTGTTATAGATGACGAGCATCGTTATGTACCAAAATATCCTCAACTGTTTATCACATACCTCTTGCTTTCTTTTGAATATTTCCTTAAGATACATTCCTAGAAGTATTATAGGTCAAGATGTTAACATGTTATAGCTCTTAATGCATATTGACAAATTGCTTTCCAAAAGGTTCCTTTCTTCCAGCACGTATGAGAATGCCAGTTTATTGTCCCCTTGTCAGCAAGGTGTTACATCTAGTCTGGTTTTGGTGTTTTTAGGCGCAGGAGTCGAATCTTATTCAATGATTTTGGAATATTTCTTGAAACATTTTTTCCCCATGACTTTCGTTATTCTGCTGTCTTCCTCGCAGTGTTTTTGCCATATTGATTGTCATGGGAGCTGAATGAAGACGGGATGCCAGCAGATGTATCCCGAGTCTTTAAAAAAAATTGTCCTGCTGCTTTATAGTCTCTTTCTGTCTTTCATCTGCATCCATCCTGCTGGGCACTTTCACATGGTTGTGCACTGTCATCTGAAAATTCAATGTATCTAAAACTGACTTCCCATATTCACCCTATAAACTACTCCATTTTTATCTCCCAGTCATTTGGGTTTTTAGACAAAACAAAACACAAGTCATTTTGTATTAAGTTTGTCAAATGAATTTGCCTTTGAATTGTCTCACATTTATGCCTTCTGTTTTGTTTTAATGCCATAACTCTTGTCCTGGCACAGTCTTGCGTGGACTCTAGCAGTAGCCTCTGACTGACCTCCTCATCTCCCACCTGCAATCTATCCTGACTTCTGCTTCTAGGTCAGTCTTCCTAGGCATTAGGAGGCAGGGTGTTAGGGGCTGGGCAGTGGGGACCTGGGTGTAACTTCTCCCCACACCACAGAGCAGAAGATGCAGGAAAGCCTCCACTGGAAGATCCCCAGGTAAGGTATGAGAGCCTGCTGGTGCCTCCTGATCTCTAGACAAGGCTCCCTGTTTTAAGGCAAATTCTCTCTGCAGCCCAAATTCTCAGAGTACCTCCTTTGTGCTCTTAGCACTATGGAGACTGCAGATAAAGGTGGCTTGGCCCTGTGGTCCTCTTTCTCTTCCTTCCAGTTGCCACAACCCTTCCTCCTCCTTAGGAAGGGATGCCAGAGTTCTCATTTTGCAGCTGAGCTCTAAGGAGAGGCAGTGTCCTGGCTGAGTTCACACTGCTTAAGAGGCTTGGAAAGTGGTGCTGGTGCCCAGTTCCTCAGACGTTAGTTCCCAGATCGCTGGGTGGGAGCAGACTTCTCCCTGGTTGGTAGAAAAGCATTTCCTGACACATGTCATGTAGGTAGTATGTGGTCCCCTTCCAGTTCAGATAGCGACGGCCAGAATGGTGATTAGATCTAAAGAGGCACAGGAACTGGTTTTTCCATCTAAGCAAGTGGGAGGATAGTGCGTCACAGGGTTTGGTGATCTGTAAGGGACTGTGAGAGGGCCTGGCACATAGTAGGTAGGCACCTCGTGTTTGATGAGTGAACATCTTCTGGGAGACATGGTGATGCCACAGCTGTACTTGCCACTTCCCTTCTCTGTGCTTCTGGGCTGGAATTGCCTGGACTCTTTCCAGTTTGTTCTGATAGAGGTGGTGAATCAAGCTGGCCTGCTTGCTTTTATCTGTGAATTCTGTCAGTTCATCTGCCATCCACAGATGGGTTTGCACTTTTGTCAGTTGAGTTATCCAGGGATATATGGGGCTTAAACATAGATAAAACGGCTTTCTTAGAGCAAGTGCTCTAGTCCTATTAGCTCGGCTTTTAGTAATTTGTCAAAATGTCAACTGCTTTATCGTTATAGCTCTGCAGTTCCTGAAGTCTGTGACAGTGTGGTGGAGTCTGAGCCAAATGAGGCAGCCATGAGAAATCAGATGGGTGTGGGAGGGTGGGCCGACCCTCTCGCTGAAGAATAGAGCTGATTTAGGCCCAGTATGGGAGAGCCATCAAGTTGTAGAGTCACTTAAAAAGTGAGAATCAGAAACCTAGGCCATGGGATGCTACTGGAATTCCGTGATCAAGCCAGAGGATCTTGGGCCACCTCTCCTGTGGTGCCTAGCCACCTGGGGTTCCTGGAGCCCACCCAGAGTTCCTGCTTTACCCCAGCAGCACCAGAAAACTGTGAGGGAGCCTGTTCTGCAAAAGGGAGCATTCTGTGAGGGAGCAGAAGACCCTGAGGATGGGGAAGGTAGGGACAAGCCTTATTTGTTTAATTACAGTCACTGACACTTGGAGATTGGGGATGGGTGCAAGTTTACTGCCAAGAGAACTGGAACACAAAGCAGTGGCCACTAGTCCCAATGCCACCTAAGCCCTGCTAAGCCCTTTTTCGACCTGGTGAGCAGCAGTGTGTAAAAGCAGCAGCCCAGGTCTAGATAAGATCCTGTGCCTCCAGCTGGTCCATAAGTCAGGTGAGGCATGGTGAAAGGACCTCAGAGTGGCAGCAGCTATTGCCACTGCCTGGTCCCACACAGCTTGCCCTCTTCTGCCATTGCTGAGGTCCTAATCTCCCCAACCCCTGCTTCCACCCTGCCTGAATACTCCAGATGGATCTCCTTCCTTCCTGCGACTGGAACAGGGTGCAGTGAGCTGAACTAACTGTGGGACATCTGTGCCGATTCCATCGTCTTCCCATTACAAGCTCTTGTCTGTTGCCCTTGCCTCCCTCTACCCCAATCTCTGTTCACTCAGCTTGGTTCTGCTTCTGTTCTTATTCCTGAGCATCTGTCTGGTTCCATGTTCACTGGCCTCCCAAGCCTGGGGCCCTGCTTTCTGGCCAGCTGCATGTGTCAGGTCTCACACGTGCTGTGGAGCCTCAGGTGACTATAGAATGCCATCATGGGCTGACCACTCAGGCGTGGATGCACATGGGCTGCAGAAATGTGGACACTTCTCAGCTTCCCCATCATTGTGTTCCATCACATTGGGACAACCCCACTTCATTTTAGGCCTTTGATCCCAAATATTGTTCCAAACTGAGATGATCTGTTTCTGATGCTTTTAGTTCTTGGGGCTGTGTCTTAGCTCATGGACTGCGTCTCTGTGATCTGGCTGGTCTAGGGCCCAGGTCCTGAGCCACATCCAGTCCATGACCTTAAGCTTCTGCTTGGCAGTTTGGGCCCAGCTGTCCCTCCCAAGGCAGGAGGCGGTTGTGGGCTGGAAAGGGAAGCCTGATCCGCCCCTTCCAAATGAAGGGATAGACGTAAACATGCTTCAGTAACAAGTTGCTATGTGGAAGGGACTTGGAGGTCGTTTTGAGTAAAGGCCACACCAGACTCAGCCGCCGTGTAAACCATGGGCAGACGGAAGAGCACAGGCTGCCCGGGAAAGGGAGAGTGGCAGCCAGCAGCTTCAGCAGCTGTCGTTCCGCACCAGGCACAGCAAGCTTCTCTGCCCCGTCCAAGCATTTGTCATACTCTATGTGGGGGAGGATGCATGGAAGGCCTCTCCTTCCCGAGGGCAATTAGTGCTGCCCATCATAGGAAAACTCTGCACTCAGATCTCTTCTTCATTCTTGAATCACTAAGACATTTCTTTCTTCTCATGGACACTGTTTTATGTGTTGGTCCCAGTTGCTTCCTGAAGACATGAGCAGGTGGGAATACTGCCTGTGTTGCCTCAGCATTGCCCGAGCTCTAGGGGATCATGTGGATCCATGTCTGTGTTTGGCGCTGAAAGGAGACTGTGAGCTCTTTGAGGATGGGGAACATGCCTGGCTCCTCTTTGGAGTCCCAGCACCCAGCCAGAGTGAGCAACGCTAGAGAAGTGGGTGGGGGAGTGAGTGGGTGATTGGATCAGGCCTGGCCACATCCAGGTGCACCTTATCCACAGAAGAACAGTGGGCAGGGCCACCGTCAAGGGTGATCTAAGGACCAGAACCTCCAAATGAACCCCGGGTTGTCCCTGTTCACAGACAGTGGGCAGCTGGAAGCCACGTGAGAGCATCTCCCAACTCCAGCTTCTCAGTGTGTTGCTCTGAGCCATGCGCACACACCAATGGCCAACTGATTTAAACCGAATTTGGGGGCAGAACAACCGACTCCATTATAAAGAAACTCCATTTCCAAAGCATTTGCTAATTGAGCCATCACAGCACTTGATCTCATTGTGCTGTTGGCGCTCTTTCCAGACTGAGTTAATCACTGCCATTCTTGTGATTCTTGTCTGCCTGTGCCCACGGACAAGACCTGCCTGAAGCAGGTGCTTCTCCTGGGTGCTCTGGATGACTCTACTGCCCTTGGTGCTCAGTTATTCATAGAATCACAGAATCCCCTATTGGAAGAGACCTTAGAGGTCATCCATTTTGCAAATATTTAGCAGCTCCCCCTGTGTCACAAGTATTGCCTGATAGAGATGGTTCAGAGGATGTAAGCATCTGAAACCCTGACTTGTTTGGTATTTTCTTCTTGGAATGTAGAATTGCACTTTTAAGAACACATTTAGGGTCCCCTCCTCCACCCATCATTATCATTTCCTCTTTTGGATAAATATAGATCACCTTCTGTTACGGGAGCGAGCATATGGTAGGTTCCTAGCACACAGTAGGCTTTCAATGAATCTTGGTTTCTTTTCTTCTCTGTCTGTGGTTTAAAAAAAAAAAAAAAAAGCATCGATTAATAACTACCCTAGAAGCCAGCAACATGTCTTTTAATTGCTGCAACTCA